ATTTACTTTGTATGTCATTTCAATTTCTTTAATATTGATTTACAGAAGGTGGATAGAGCCTAAAAAGTCTAAAATATTTTTAGAAACATTTATGAGAATGTATTAAAACAGCACAAATGAAACTTGTTTCTGTAATTTTCTTTAACATCCAAGGCTATATTTGAGCTAACACTTATTTTTTGACCAAGTGTAGAAGAAAAGAATATTTTGCCTTTTAAAATTGATTACTTTTGAACAGGTAGATGAACAATATGAAGTGGAGAAGAACCCAATGAAAAGAAGTTATATTAAGAATTGCATCCTTTCTAAGGAGGTGCACCCTTTGGATCAAGCAGCCATGAAACACTAGAGGGGTAGCATTCAAATACAGGGAAGGTTGGACAGACAGGAATGCATGGATGAGAGGGACACTGGGATGGAATGGTTACTGGGAGAAGAGAGGAGGAGAATTTTTTATGGTTGGCAATGATAATCAGGCCATGAAACCAGATGTGCATGAACTTTTGAATGTAAAACAAGTTTGCTAGGTTAAAAAAAAAAAAAAGGAAAGAAAAGAGAATGACTATAATTCTAAAGCAAATCAACTTCATAGTACGACATTACCACTTCTTAGATAGCATAAAGTTAATTTGGGAGATATCCATTCAAATGAGGATGCTTAAAAATTTTTGTTGAATCAGTACCTCGATATGATCCATTTCTTTCTTCCACACAGATTGCTTTTCCTCTGCACTGTGTCCAGGAATGGATGAACTATTTTGAACGTAATTAAAAACTTCTTCCTGAAGAGCACAAAACAAGATAATTTATCTACTCATTCATTCAAGCAATATTTAGTCGCTACTTACCATCTGCAGGAGCTCTGGTAGCATAGTGCCTAAGGCACTTGACTGCTAACCAGAAGGTTGGCGGTTCAAACCCACCAGCCACTCCTCGGAAGGAAGGTTGAGCAATCTTACTTCCGTAGTGATACTGCCTCGGAAACCCAAGGAGGGGTCGCTATGAGTCGGGCCGACTCGACGGCAAATAACAACAGCAACAACACTTACCATCTGTACTAGTCTGGGTAAATATCTAGTATTAGGATATGGAAAATCATTTGGAGATAGTTCACTGATGGATGATTGACACTGAAGAGAAAAGGGAATTGTTTAGGGTACACTCTTAAAAGTTGTAATCCTGTTCCAATTAATTTTGGTCTCAATAACTGACTTTAAATAACCTAATGAGGGAGTATTATATTTCTGCTTTTGGTGGTTCCTGCTCACATTCCCAGTTTCATCTCAAATCATTCATGCTCTTGTCTATTATGCTCTAGCTAACCTGATCCTCCCTTAATCTATATCATCTCTACTCAGTGTTTTGCATATGTCAAAAAATTTCCCACCTCAAGGCCTTTGTATATACTGCTCCTTATCCTGGAACACTTTGCATTTCATTCTTTTCTTCTCAAATTTCTTCTCAAATTCCAAAACTCAGTTTATATGTCACTTTCTCTGCAATTACATCTTTGTTTAATCTATGTAAGTCAGTTCTCCTATTATCCTCTAAAGTTGTCCCATTTTATCTCTCCTAGCACTCCTCACAAATTGTAATTATATATATGGTTCTTTGCTTAATAAATATTAATTTCCAAGATTACTGGGACTGTATTTGTTTGAATTGTCAGTGTATACATGACTTATAAGAGGAACAAGATAAAAGGATGATAAAATAAATAAATAATCTCATCATTTGAGTTAAAAAAATTTCCAGAAATCTGTATTATAGATAGAGAATTACAAATGGGAAGTGAGAGGAGTGAAGCAGGCACATGTTATATTATGGATGTATCTTAACTGTATTATGCTAAGTAGAAGCTAGACAGAAAAGGCTGAGTATTACATGGTGCCACTAATATGGCATGTCCAGAACTGGCAAATCTATGGCATAGCGAATAAAGAAAGTTATATTTCTTTATGTACTGGTTATCTACCTCCAATATCAGCCAATGAAAACCCTAATGATAGCAATAGTCACATCCACAGTAGATTATAGGAATGAGGACTCGTGGTGGTGTTTCATTCAATTGTTCATGGGTCAACATGAATCAAGGATGGGCTGGATGGCAGCTAATAAAATAATATAGAAAAGAGTATTGTTTTCACAACTCTACTGCAAGGAAAGAGAAACCTAGAAAGATTAGCCACAGTAATTACATGCTTCTGCATAAATTATATCTCTCACATTTCATAGGACAAGGAAGTTAACTTGATTTTATGTATGACTTGAAGAGGGAAGGAAATGCTGATAGGAAAGGAGGTGGGAAATATCATCCCATTTCCTCAGAATGAAGAGAATCAGATATCTTGGTGAGGCACACAAGGATCTAAGTAGTGTACTTTTCCATGTTTTAAATTTTTAGCCATGTTCATGTGATATCTAATCAAAATAATTTACATTATTTCAAAACACAACTGAATGTAAGAAAGAAAGGAAACTGAACATATAATCAGATTAAAAATATTATGTTAAGAATGAATATTGTACAAACTTTATATCTAACTACATATCTTCTATCTCGCTCTTTGTTCATAATGTGTTATAACATGCATTAAAGAACACTGAAAATATGAATCATTATGATCAAATTGTATTGGAAGGAGCAAACAGAAGATATCTGGAAGATACTAATAATAGAAGAGAATGGTTTGAGGAAAGCCATTACATACATTTGTTTTATGAAAAACCTCTTATTTTTTTTAATATAAAGATGTAGGTAGATAATGATTTCTTTAAAACAATAGTGGTTAAAATGAAAATGTATAGGTAAGAAATTATCAATTTTGCCTGTGAAAACCATTTTGAAATGAAAATGATAAAATATTCATTATGCTACATACATATTTACAGAATAGCTTCATAATTTTATTCTTTCAGCTGTAAATTCCAATGTGGGAAGCACAAAATTTACTCTGTACATTAAAAAGGAGACAGATAAATGTGAAAGAGACAAATAATCTCCTTTCTCTAATAAATTACAAGCAATTAAACTTTAGAGACAATTTATATATTGAATCTACAAAATTTATTTTGCCCAATTAAATAAACAGGCACAATTTAGAAGCTGAATTAGATTAGACCAGAAGAATAAACACATAGATTAAGTAACCATTCAGATAGCTTAAATGTGGGAGCAGCACTTACCTTGTCTGTCAAGTGTCATTTGCTTCATTGAATGAATTAATTGTGGCAAAGACTGTTGCTGAACTGCACAGATTTATAGTCCCTTTCCATTAAATAGGACTGTTTGAAGGAGAGTCCCACTTGCCAAGTATTACATTTCCCATCTTCTAGTGGAGCCATGTTACCATTGTTTGCTGAGGACTCAATGGAAGTATGCTGTAAGTCACTAAGGGACTAAGGTGTCAATTACACAATGCTTAATGAGTTCTCTCTTTTCTTGTCAAGCCACTTGATGCACAGGAGATAGAAGAAGCTTCAAAGACTGGGCCATGGTAAAACAACTAGATGAATGAACTTGGGCCCCAAAATTACCAGGACCTTGACCAAGAACACTAACACTCTAGTTAATATGAAAAAAAGAAAAACAAAATACTGTTTCAATGCAAAGAGACTTCTAGGTTGCTTGTTACAGAAAAGGCTGAGTATTACATGGTGCAATACATTACAGTATTGCTGTGTGTCTTCAAGCAGATTCAGACTCTCTGCTAACCCGCTGTGACAGAATAGCATTATCTCGTTAAGATTTTCTTGTCTATTATGTTTACAGGAGCAACTCTCCAGGTCATTCTCCCTCAGAGCCGTTGTTGGTTCCAACTGACAACCTGTGTCCAGCACCTAAGCTCTTAACCACTGTGCCACCAAGGGCCCTTACAGTAGCTAATGCTAATTACCCAGTCCAAAACAGCAATCAATATCAGCAACAACAACAACAAAAGCAAAATTACAAAAAGAGTAAAAAAGGGGGAAAAAAAGTCAATGACAATTACAGACATAGTCATCACTAACATTTCACTATAACTTATAAGTATTTTTGTATAACATTAGATATCTATATCTATATATACCAAATGTGATACCACTGTACCACCATATCTTCTCATTTATGTGTGTGTGTGTGTGTGTGTATGTATATGTATATATAATAAAAACCAAACCCACTGCCATCAAATGGATTCTAACTCATAGTGACTCCCATCAGGTTTTTGAGGCAGTAAATCTTTACAGAAGCAGATTGTCCTGTCTTGCTTCCATAAAGTGGCTGGTGGGTTTGAACTACCAACCCTCTTGTTAGCAGTCAAATGCCTTATGCACTGTGCCACCAGAGTTCCTTAGAGCTTCATATATATATATATAAATTTTGGCTGCTAACTAGAAGGTTAGTTGCTCAAATCCACCAACTGTTCCATGGAAGGAAGGTGAAGCAATCTACTTCCCTAAAGATGTACAACCTTAGAAACCCATTGTGGGTCACTATGAATTGTAATCGATTGGAGGGAAATGAGTTTGGGTATATATACGTACCCATCTCTGGAATTCTAATTCTGTTTCTTGCTGTTTCCAGAAATCTCTAACACCTTTAAAATTGCAATTAAAAGATATATATATTTAGCTTTTCTGCTTGTTGCAGCAAGACTGTTGAGGTTGTCATGATTTTCCAAGTACATTTAAATTATATATATATGCACACACACCCCCCATATATATGTATATCAGTTTCAAATGTAATTCACCGCCTCCAATTTTAACACATACCCAAGCCAAAGTATATTCTCCCTAAAAAAAAAAAAAAGAAAAAGGAAGAAAAGTATGGTCCTTTGCTTTGAAACATAGATAAACTTTCCAGTGGCTTCCTTGATCATTTAAATAAAGTCCAAAATCCTTTCCAGAGGGTGAAAACCTTATATAATCTGACTTTAGACTGCTATCCTGAATTATTTTTGTTGTTTCCAGATGTTGCTGTCCCATAGAAATTACATGTCCACCAAGGGTAAGTTCCCACTTTTAGGTTTTCTTACCATGTTGTCTATGACCTGAGATTATGTTCCCCTGCCTAATTTCCTTTTTAACACTGTTTAAACTTGATAACACATTTTAACTATTTTTCTTATCTTTGAAAATATAAGCTTATTTCCATTTCAATTATTTACCACTTTTCCATAATTTGCCAAGAACTGTTGAAATGGATTCTTACCATTTAGGAATCAAACAAATCAAATGTCTTATTTGGATGCTTTCTATCATGTTCAACTATAACACTACTTTGTTTCCTTTCTAGAACTCAGAGCTATCTGAAATATCTTGTTCTTTTGTCCACTCTCTAGTGTATGCTACAAACCATAAGGAAAGATACAATAAACTTTCTTTTACCATGTTCTTTTGTCATTTCTCAGCTGTACTCAAAGGGTATATTTGCAGTAGAATAACTTTTAAACTAATGTGAAAATTGCTTTTGTTTTGGTTTTTGACACATTTTTGCTGTGTTTTAGGAGAAAGATCTTACCAATTTACTAAACTACCAGCAGTGTGTGGGAATTCAGTCTCTACTGAATAACTGTTTATTAAATACAACAAAGAAATAACAACAATAACAACAATATACCCTGTTCTTTATCTTATGTAAATTATTTTACTTTTTGTATTTAGTGATATATTATTTTTAATATTTTTATAAATATAAAAGTTATGTATGAATTTCTATGTCTCACAATTTTTATAGTCTGCTCCAAAATTTCAATATAATATTGAAACCATTTGTCAAATGTGCATATATCTGCATTTGCACATTTCATGACTCAGTTAAATATATTATATATTGAGAAAATCATTAAAATTCCAACCATTATAAGAAAGATATTATGGGCTAAAATGAAAATATTTTTGTTAGTTTAGTATTTTTTTTTTTTCCAAAATACATTTAGTGAATTCACAAATATGAATACCTTAATACATTCTTAGCTAGAATGAATGGACATCAATATGTTTCACTTTTAACTACAGAAAATTAATTCATATAAACATAAACTATAAGTCAGTGAGGAATGATTATATGTATACACACACTGCCAAAGGGGCAGAAAAGCTGCATCTTCTGACTCCTCTAATCCCATAAGAGGAAGACAGAATCACCATCAGCATTCCAAGGCTTATTCTATGCTGCCTCTCTTTAGCCCTTTCACCAATCCTGACACCAACAGTTCCTTTGGCAGCGTATACCACCTCTCTGCTAGGTTTGATAATTAACTGCAGTGAGCACACAGAAACTACAGATTATGGGGTTTATCAAGGAAGAAACAGGCTACAACTCAAGTTCAGGAATGCACTCAGTCTCTCACAGAGCTGACAGTCTCTCTCAGTCTTTCTCAGCAGTGCATGTCTTTTGAGGTCTCTCTCAATAGTGCATGTCTCTCTGTCTCTCTTACAGCAGTGTGTGTCTCTCATGTCTCTCAGGAACATGTTTCTCTCAGCAGCATGTCTCTCTGAGCCAGCAGTCAGAGAAACTCCTTCTGCCTCTAGGAGGGCTCCTTTTGAGCCTAGCAGAGTGGCCCAAACCGACCAATCCCAACATCAGAGTTTGACACACCTCTGAGAGAGTGAACTTCCCAGAAAATTACTTTGTGCTACTCCCAACAGAAATACCCCAAGTGGGTAACTTTAACAATCAGGAGCTAATTCAGTTGCTCACAGGAAATTCCACCATGTGGTTTACAAAGATTCATGGCTAGAAAAGCCACATTATGTAATTTACTACACTGAACACACACACATACATACACACACATATCTGAAGTTATATGTAGGTACCATTGATTCAGTACCAACTCATAGAGATCCTATGCACAATGGAACAAAAAATTGCCTGGTCATGCGCCATCCTCACAATCATTATGTTTGGGCCCACTTACAACAGCCACTGTGTCAAACCATCTTTCTGAGGAATTTCCTCTTTTTTGCTGACCCCATACTTTACTAAGCATGATGTCCTTCTTGAGGGACTGGTCCCTCCTGATAACATGTCCAAAACATGTGAGATGAAGTTTCACCACCCTTGCTTCTAAGGAGTACTCTGGCTGTACTTCTCCTAAGAAAGATTTTTTCATTTTTCTGGAAGTTCATGGTGTATTTAATGTTCTTTGCCATCACCATATCCAAATGCATCAGTTCTTCTTCAGTCTTCTTTACTCATTGTACAGCTTTCACATGCATACAAGGCTATTGAAAATATTATAGCTTGGACCAGGTGCACATTAGTCATTGAAGTGACATCATTACTACTTAGCACTTTAAAATGTTCTGTTGCTGCAGATTTGCCAATGTAAAATGTCATTTGATTTCTTGACTACTGCTTCCATAGATGTTAATTGTAGATCCAAATTAAAAAAAAAAAAAAAGTAAAAGCTTGACATTTTCTCTTTCAATACTTTATCAAGATATTACTTATTGGTTTAGTTGTGAGGATTTTTGTTTTTTATATTGAGGTGTAATCCACACTGAAGTTTATAGTCTTTGATCTTCATCAGTAAGTGCTTCAAGTGCTCTTCACTTTCAGCAACCAATGTTGTACCATCTGAATATCACAGGTTTTAAAGGAGTCATCCTCTAACCCTGATGTCAAGTACTTCTTTTATAGTTCAGATTCTCAGAGCATTTGCTCAGCATAAATCTTGGATAAGTATGATGAAAGGATGCATCCCTGACACACTGATTCCCTTATTTTAAGCCTTGCAGCATCCACTTGTTCAGCTTGAATGACTGCCTCTCGGTGTGTGTACAGGTTCCTCATGATCACAGTTAAGTGTTCTGGAATTCTCATTCCTTACTCTGTTATCCATAATTTCTCCTGATCCACACAACTGAATGTCTTTACATAGTCAATACAAAGCAGGTAACTATCTTTATTTTATTTTCTGTTTTTAGACAAGATCCATCTGACATAAGCAATGATATCCCTTGTTCCATGTCCTCTTCTGAATCCAACTTCAATTTCTGGAAGTTCTCTGTTTATATACAGCTGCAAACATTTTAAAATTATTGTCAGCAAAATTTTACTTGTGTTAGATAATAATCATATTCAATAACTTATACATTTTCTTGGGTCACCTTTCTTTGGAATGAAACAAATATGGATCCAGTTGCTTGGCTAGGTGTCTCTCTTTCAAATTCCTTGGCATAAATGAGGGAGCATTTCCAGCATTTCCTCCATTAGTAAAACCTCTCAATTGGTATTCCATCAATTCCTGGAATCTTATTTTTGCTAGTGCCTTTCAAGCAGCTTGGACTTCTTCAATCAGCACCATCAGTTCTTGATCATATACTACCTCCTGAAATAGTTGAATGTCAAT